AATATACGACTGTCCTCCTGGCGTTTGAGCTCCTGATCTCTTTTCATCACTTCCTGTATCTTCCGGTACTCGTCTGGTGACAGATAACTCAAATCCAGTGTCTGATCCATTGGTTTATCAATAAAACTATTTTAATTAAATTAATTAATTAATTAATTAATTATTATTTATTATAAATATATACAACAAAAACTATTAATTTATATATCAATTATATATTATAATAATTATTATTAATTTATTTATATGTATTTATTTAGTTAAATTAAATCTTAGTATTAAAATTAAATAATTATAATAATTTATTTACTTATTTAAATATACTATAACAACAAAAAAATATTAATTTAATAAATTTATATTAATAAATTATTATTAATAATTTATTTGTTTAAAAAAAATAAATAAATAAAATTTACCGCTTATTATCTATATTTTTGTTGTTATTGTTTTTATTAAATAAACTTTAAAAAAATAATAAGTTTTCAAAAAATATTGATAAAATAAATTTATTTATTTTTTATATATATAAATTTTATTTTTTGGTTCATCTATATATATTGTTTTATTAAATAATTTATATTTTAATAAATATAATTTCAATATAATGTAGTTATAAAACATACAATAATAAAAATCATTTAAAATACATTATTTTTAAAAATTAAATTATAATAATTTTATTTTCGCTACAATCAAATACATTACAAAATAAAACTTTTAATAAATGCATTTAAAAAAAATCCTATTTTAAATAATAGATTTTATTTTATTTGAAAATATATTTTATAATTCAATTTTGTTAGTGAAAAAATAGTAATTTTTTTGCAAACGTTTGCAATAATAATAATAATTATTATTATATAATATATTTGTTGGATTAGAAATTTAAATACAAAAAATATATTTAAAATTTATGATTTTATTTTATTATTATTTTTTCAAAAAAATAGATACTTTAATACTATTACTACTACTACTATACTTTAAATATTATTTACAATATTATCATCTAGCTACTTTATATATATATATTTTATTTATTTTGAATATTTTATCACATAATAGCATATATAATATAAGTTTCTAACAAAAAAAAATAAAAACATTTTTATTTCAAAAAGTTAAACTACAATAACTTTTTTAATAATATAAAATTTTTTGTTATTTTTTTGTTGTTTTTGTTGTGTTTAGTTTATTAACTTAATAAAATCATAAAATATAACACAAACAAAAATAATAATAATAATAAGTAAAAAATATATTACACTAATTGTATTATTTATTATAAAAACAAAAATACTATCTAATCCATGAAATACTCTTTTTTTGTGTAACTATAATAATAATAATAGTGATAATAATAATCCTAAAAAATATAACATTTGGCTAAAAATTATATTAATATAGTATATATACTGTACATACTTTAGTTAAACACACACACATATACTAGTATATACACATATATATATACACATACATACACACACACATACATACATACATAGATACACACACATACATACATACAAACACACACACACATACATACACACACATACAAACACACACACACATACATACACACACATACAAACACACACATACATACACACACATACAAACACACACACACATACATACACACACATACAAACACACACATACATACACACACACAMACACACACATACATACACACACACACACATAGAGACATACATACAACTACATAGAAATCTGGTATTTAGAGAATGAGATAATACTTATATTCAATCAATAAGTAAAATCTTTATAATAAAATAAATAAATAAATATTTCTATATATTATTAGATTTGTCTTATATTTTTGTATTTTACTTTTAGATTTATTTATATATATATAGATATTTATATGTTTTTTATACTAAATATTTCCAACTCATTATTGTTTGGATTTTATGTGTTTATTATATTAGAGTAAAAGTTATTTTTTTCTACAAGTATTTGTAATAATAATAATAATAATAATAGTCTATTATTATATATATAGGGATAAAAAAATCTATATAATTAAATAAACAAAATTAAAAAAAATACTACAAATACTATGACAAACACATTAAAACAATTAGTATTGAAAAAATGTTTTTATTGTATATAATTCAAGTGATAATGAAATAACTAAAATAAATATTTATTTATTTATTTTGATTTAGTTGTGTTTTAATACAAATATTATAATTATTTAGTTATAATTTTTCAAATTTTTGTTTTTATGTGAAATACAATGTTTGTTAACACAAAATCTATTGTATATTAAAATTAATGTTTTATTTTTTTATAGAAAATTTTCTATATATATATACATATATATATATATATATACTGATATACATAGTATATACATACATACATATATACTATATATATATATATATATACAACTAAATTTAATTATTAAAATTTTTATTTTTTTACGTTTTATTAATTTAATAATAAAATAGTAAAAAAATTGTTGTTAATTAGATTTAAGAAAAATAAATAAATAATTTGTTTACTAAATATTTAAATATAATAATTTATTTTTATTTCACATATAATTTAATATTACTACTACTAACTAAATACAAATTAAATAACATAAAATATAAAAATTATAAATAATTAATTTTCTATGTTTCAAATTTTATTTATTTATTTTTTTTAAGTAAAACAAACATTGCAAACAATTTATATATTAAAACAAAATGATAATAATAATAATAATAATTATATTAAAATAAATATGCAATGTTAGCAACAAAAATGTTTTATATATATATAATTTATATACATATATATAATTTATATAAATTCAAAAACAATTTTTATTACTATTATTATGTATAACAAAAATTTTACAAAATTACAAAATGCATGCAATTTTTTGCTATTTGTTTTTGAAAAATATACTATTTATAGAAAATATAATAATAATAATAATAATAATAATTACCTCAAAATTGATTAGTCGTTTAAATAAGTTTATTGTCAATCTCACAGTTATTGTTGCTTTTTATTTGAGCTAACTGTGCAAACAGTTAGGCAATTAGTACAGTATATATATATATATATATATATATATATATATATAAATCAGTTTATTTAGTTGTGTATGAGCTTAGGTATGACTTTCCCCCCTCCCCTAAATAGAGGACAGGTAGTTGACATATACAGATAAATACAGTCAACAATAACACAACAATTTCAATAATAATGTTTTTTTAAAAAAAAGTTTTTACTATTTTTAAAATATTAAAAAAAAATTAGCGCACAAATCAAATTAAAAATTATTATTACTATTATTATATACAGTATATTGTATTATATAATTAATCAGCTGATAATGTGGACAGGTAGTTTTTTATTTTTATTTTTTAAAAATATAGTAAATATATGTATGTTTTTGCAGTGATGATGATAATAAATAGTCACCAAAAAATGTTATTATTATTATAAAATAAAAAATTTATTTTATAATAAAGGGTTAGTTAGTTAGTTAGTTTGTTTGTTTGTCACAGTATATAATAGCACTTATATATATTATCAGTAGGTTTGTTATTAATTATCATACCTGTCCACACATACACACACTTAGATTTATATATGTTATACTACTGTATATTAATATTAATATTAAAAGATTATTATATAATCTTTTACTGATAGATATATATATTATAATCATTTGTTTGTTAGATTACAGTATAGTTTAGTCAACTCTCTCTCTCTATCTCTACTCTACACAACTCTCTCTCTCTCTCTCTCACTAAAGTACTGACAGTATATAACAACTGGTGGTAATGTGTGTGTGTTTGTGTGTCTGTGTCTGTAAGCTACCAGTGCTGCTGCAGATTCTCTAACTCACTCACTAACTATATCAGTGAGTGTATGTGTATGTGTATGTTTGTGTGTGTATATATGTGTATGTATGTATGTATGTGTGTGTATGTGTGTGCATGTGTTTGCATGTGTTTGTATGTGTGTGTATGTGTGTGTATGTGTATGTGTGTATGTGTGTGTGTGTGTGTATGTGTATGTGCTTTGATTGTCAGTATTGTTAGTACAGTATATATGCGCCAGAATTTATACATTACTCTCTCTCTATCTCTCAAAAACCAACTGTTTGTTAGTGAGTGAGTGTGTGTGAGTATGTTATAAATATTRTATATATATATATATATATAGAGAGAGAGAGAGAGAGAGAGAGAGAGAGAGAGAGTATTGTATGTTACTGGGGTTTGTTACGGGTAACGGTAGGTCATGAATCGGTATACCGTATATATATATAAAACACATACACATACTGTACATACACTTAGCAGCCGTACGACAAACACAACAACAGCACGCATGAGGCAAATGAGCTCTCACTTGACTATATCACCAGTAGGTGTGTGCTTATGATGACTCTATGATATTACTACTATTACTACTACTAGTAGTAAAAACCATAGCACAGGTATGTGTGGTGACTGTTATTTGTTGCATACATATATACATTACTCTCTCTCWCTCTCTCTCTCTCTCACTCACACTCTCACACACTCACACACTCACACACTCACACACTCACACACTCACACACTCACACACTCACACACTCACACACTCACACACTCACACACTCACACACTCACACACTCACACACTCACACACTCACACACTCACACACTCACACACTCACACACTCACACACTCACACACTCACACACTCACACACTCACACACTCACACACTCACACACTCACACACACATCAAACCTATCATCAGGTGTTTGTGTGTGTGTGTGTGTGTGTGTGTGTGTGTGTGTGTTATATATACGTTATATACTGTATATTAATATATCATATAACACATCACACATTACATTAGATAAGGTTTAATGATTTCAATATAATATTTATATATTGCTATTATTACTATAATAATAATTATTATTATTATTAAAAAATTTCTATATTTTTTTAAAAAAAAATACTAATAATAAAAATAAATCATTTAGTAATTTATATATATTTTTAAAAAAATATATTTTATTTAAAAACAGAATATTCTTTTAAAAAATTTTGAAAATTTTAATTTTCTAATTCAATGTAAATTGATATTTGTAAAAAATATATATATAATACTGTATATAGATAGATATATATATATATATATATATATATATATATACAATAATATGTGGGTAGATAGTAGAGATAACCTTGTTAAAAACAAAAATTTAATATCTATACAATACTATATTGTATACACAAAATAAAAATAAAATAAATAAAATAATTGTTTTTATATTTATAGCAATTAATTTTATCGATAGTCTATCACTGAGTTAGTTAGTTTTAGTGTATTATAGTGTAGGCATAAAAATGTAATTTTAAACCAATTAATTTATATATATATATACTGTATATTATTTGATATTAAATTGTTATTTGATTTAAACTCTATTTATATTTTTAAAAATAGTAGATATTTTAGAAAAATTTTCTATTATTTTATTTTTTTTTTTAAAATAAATTCTCAATAATTATTATTTGAGTATTACTGCATAACAACAATAAATAATTTCATTGATTGTATTTTTTTATATAATACGGGTATTATTATTACTATTAATATTATTATTGCTATTTTTGTAATCATTAGACTGATTGCTAGTTTGTATTTTTAATTAAAAAATAAATAAATAAAAAAAAAAATAATTAAAATAAAATTTATTTTTTTTCAAATGTATTTTTAAAAATTTTTTCCTAACATTGATATCACATTTAGATAAATAAAAAATAAAATCTCTGATGAATTGCTCGTTAGTTTTATATACTGTATATATATATTAATAATAGTTTTTTTTACTTTATTATCATTATATACCGGTAGTTATATAATGAAAGTCACTATTAGTTTCTAGTTTTTAAAAAAAAAAAAAAACTTTTTTATTGTTGTTTTGTTTTGTTTATAATAATTGTTTTGTTTGTTTAGTTTTTGTGTTTTTTTGGTTTAGTTATCAGAGAGAGAGAGAGAGAGAGAGAGAGAGAGAGAGAGAGAGAGAGAGAGAGAGAGAGAGAGAGAAAGAGAAAGAGAGAGAAAGAGAGAGAAAGAGAGAGAAAGAGAGAGAAAGAGAGAGAAAGAGAGAGAAAGAGAGAGAAAGAGAGAGAAAGAGAGAGAAAGAGAGAGAAAGAGAGAGAAAGAGAGAAATACAATAGTTATTTGATATTATTATTATTATTACTAGTATTATATCATTAATACTTTTAACCTTTTAAATAATTGATGCAATATTTTTTGTAATGTTTTTGTATGTCTCTTATTCCCGTTTATACGTCATTACACACATATATATATATATATAACAGTAAATTATATTATAAATTAATACTACTACTAATACTACTACTAATAATAATAATTTTATTTATTTATTTTTTTAATACTTTTAATACTTTTAATTTTCTGCTTAACAGTGAAAAAATAAGGTAAACCTCTTATGAGATTATTAGACAATTTTCTGTTTTTATTTTGTTTGTTATTTATTTTTTTTTTGCTTAAATTATTCAAAGATTATATATATATATATACAGTATATTAATAACGGGTATATATATATTATTATAAATTTAAAATTATTATTATTATTATTTAATACATTACAGTGTATTATTATACTGTACTGTACTTTACAATACAAATTAATGCTAATACAAGTAAATCCCATATACGTGTCTATGTAATAAAATTAGGTATATTTTAGTTATTAATTTATTTTATTTTTATTTTTTTTTGTAAAAATTTAATCAGTAAATAAATTAATATTTAATCCTATTTTTAATATATTTTTTTGGAAATAATTATTTATATTTTATTTTTAATGTAAAAAGTTTATATTAAAATAACAAACAACAAAAAATGTTTTTATAATTTTTAATAATAAATTGTTTTTTACAATAATAATAATAATATTTTAATTTTAAAATAATTTATTTATAGTTTTAAATTAAATTAAATTTAATTTCATATAAATTACTATAAATACACTAATTATGTGTTAATTTATATATATATATATAGATTTATATAAAATAATTTTTTGATTAAATAAATTATAGATTTATATATATATTTATATATTTGACTAACATTTTGTCATTATTATAATCATTAGTAACTTTTAATATCAAAAAACAATAATAAATGAAATAAATACTGTTTATTAATATAAAAATATTATTATTATTATTATTAATTACTAAATAAATAATTACTAATAACTTAATAATAAATATTATAATAATTTATATTTAATATATTTTATTTTATTTTTAAAAAATAGGAAACATACCTATAAAAGTTGATGTTTTAAAATCCTAATTATTAAATGTTAAAATTTAATAAAATAATAATAATTGGCACACATTTTGTTAATACTGTATACAATAATTAACACAACACTAAACACATTTAAAATAATAATAATTAGTATTATTATTATTAAATTTTAACAACACTAGTGTATTATAGTTGAACTTTTTAGTTTTTAATAGACACACTAATTAATAATAATTAAATTAAATAAAATTTTTACACCAAATTTATAATATATTTTTGTTAACTAAAATACATTAACAATTTATATGATAATTAATAGTCGTATATATTTTATTATTATTATTATTATAAATTAAACTAAAATTATTTTTTTTTTGAACACTAGATCACAATATTTAAAATTTTTACTTAGATATTAATTTTAATAAAATTAGTATAAAAATTAATTAAATTATTAAAATATTAAGTTAATATAAATTGTATAAATACAATGTTATATTGATTTTGTTTAAAAAAAAAATTAAAATTTATATAAATATTAAACACATGTTACACAAACATAGTAATAGATAAATAAATAATAAATAAATATACTGTTTATATTATTATTATTATTATTATTATCATTAAATACAATAATAATAATAATAATAATACACTAATAGGTGTGTATGTGTTTTGAAAAAAAATT